ATAATATACTATAATATAATATACTACAATATAATATACTATAATATAATATACTATAATATAATATACTATAATATAATATACTATAATATAATATACTATAATATAGTATAGGTGTTAAGAGCTTTTGACTGGCAAAGCGCTCCAGAGGTCGCACTGGCTCGTGTAAGACTTCGCCAACACCTCTGGGGCTGCATACGACAGAGTCCCGCAGCTCAACTCCATCTTCGTGTTCTTGGCCCACACCTGCTGGGGGTTTGGGGCTTGGGGTTTAGGGGTTTGGGGTTTAGGGTTTAGGGTTTAGGGGTGCGGAGGTGTTCCTCTTGCTAGAAAGCCATCCCCAAGTTCTCTTCAGCTCTTTTGACATCTTCACAGCTGCACTTCCGATCGCCTTGCTGAAGCCGAAATCGATGAGTTTCAGGAAGTCGCCATCCTTCCTCTCGTAGAGGAAATTCTCAAGCTTCAAGTCCCGGTGTACGATGCCGGCGCTGTGCAGGTAATTGACCGCCAAGAGCATCATCCACGCTGTTTTGCAGGCATCTTTCTCTGAGTACACTTTCCGCTCGCGCACTCGATCGAAGAGCTCGCCACCCTCCATGCACTCCATGACGAGGCTTAGCCTGTCCTCTTCCTGCCAGCAAACAGTAAAGCCGACAACTTGGTCATTCCCTGAAGACTCCGATCACGGCACCGGTCCTATTCCCTAGCAGCTCAAAAGTCCGTCCTCATAGACATCAAACAGCCGGACAATGTGCGGATGATCCATACCTGACATGCTATCCACAAAGCTGGGCATGCCTACGGTAGCTTGCCAGAAGCTTCTTCGGGCAATCAACTCAGAGGCGATGATCAGAGCAGGTGTGTGTGTGTGTGTGTGCGGCAGATCAGGTTCTCGCACGCTGACACATTGACATGGCTTGTGTCAGTCATCTTCTCGCGGGATGTGGGCTAAACTAGGAAGCAAAGTTCATGAATTGCAAGTCCGGTGGCTCAGGAAGATTTCAGCTTCGGAAGCAAGCTCAGCCTTCTTCCTGCCACAAGGTAGCCAGACAACTTGGGATGGTAAATGAAGGTTTGCCAGGGAAAACAAAAGAGGTTCAGGCCGAATAGCGATCGCAGACAAGCGGCTCTTTGCTAACACCATGTAGCTTGAAGGCCTTGACGGCGAACTTGCCCGTTCTATTCTTCCCTCTGGCCAAAAGTACTGAGCCATTGTAGCCGGTTCCAAGTGCCTGATCAGGCGAGGCATGGGTTTTTCAGAATTCAGTGGCGTTTTTGTGGGGGGCTTCTGAAAACAAGGACGCTTCTAGAGCCAATGTCTCAGGAAATCATTGTTAGATTGGTCAGTTTTATCTAGATCCAGGGGGGTTTGACTGGCTGCCTTCTTCTCCACAAAGTAGTCGTCCTCGAGCCGAGTTGGAAGCCGATGATACCGACCAACCACGGAGATGTGGCCCACCCGATCTTCTGCCCGTGTCCTGCAAGGGATCCAGTCCAATCCCAAACTAGAGGGGCTCCGCCAAAGCGATCAAGGTACTTTTGCCGATGTGCAGCTGCTGTCGCGGCATGTAGTAAGTAACACACTGCCATGCCCACTTCCGAAGTGAGTAGTAGTAGTAGTAGTGGTAGTAGTAGTAGTAGTAGTAGTTTTTGTGGCACTGCTACTACTACCACTACTACTACTACTACTACTACTACTACTACTACAACTACTACTACTACTACTACTACTACTACTACTACTAGCCACCCGCCCCCCCCCCCCTCACAACTACACTTGCTCCATCCGGTCTGGGCAGTGGCAGCTTCTAGGCTCCCGAACTGCGACAGGTGCAAAAGATGCAGGGGCTCAGGCTCCCTATCTGTGACAGCTGCAGAAGTTGCAGAGGCTCACTTTCCTTAACTGTCACAATCGGTGAAGTCGCAGAGGATCAGGCCCCAAAACTGCGACTGCAGTTGGAGTTGCAAACTCGACGGGGAAGAAACTGCTCAACCACAGGTGGTCGGATAGTACGAAAACGTTGTAAATACCGTGCAAATCGCAAGTGCTGCCAAGAAGGTTTTAACACTCCTAAAACCTGAAGTGC